ATCATTATTATCATCACCGTTACCATTATCATCATATTACTATTATCATTAACATCATCATATTACCCATCCTCATCATAGTTATCCTTATCATCATACTACCAGCATTATTATCATCATAATCCCTATTACTAGCATCAGTTTCACCATTCCTGGCCTGAGGGGATACGTGCCTAGTGAAAAAAAAATGGAAAAGTTGAAGAGAATGAATAAGCAAGATATAACGTTACATCTACTTCACTTAAGTTATTCATTTTTCATTCATTTACTTATTCATTATCTATATATATATGAAATAAACAAAAGAATAATGGGGATATGTGAATGGTAAAGTAAAAAAAAATCGACGCTAATTTTACATAGGAGTTCCTTATGTGTAATCTTATAAATATACATAATCAGCTGTATTATCCTATGATATCTAACACATTAGTTAAAATGAGTAAATAAGATTCTGTATACATGGGTTAGCTTTCAATATTAATGATTGTCCTACTGATTCAAATTGTGTTATTTTTTCAAATAGATTATCTTATATTATCGACCTTTACTTTGACATCAAGATTTTTTTTCTCACATGTGATTGGTATAACGATTTTGATTTTTTATACGTTTATAGCGTAAGAGGACGAATGGATATCCTAAATAAATATATGATTAAATGTGAAGAAATACACTAAATCAAGAAACATAGAATAAACAGACAAAATAATAAGGACGAAACGCTTACAAAATAAAGTTTACAAATAGATACAGTGTTTACGAATCATCGCCTAATCAAAAGGCAAAACAAAACATGCATACATATATATATGTTTATTCTCCATCACTTCATACATAAGGCAACACGCACAATAATAACAACAACAACAACAACAATAATAATAATAATAATAATAATAATAATAATAATAATAATAATAATAATAATAATAATAATAATAATAATAATAATAATAATAACAAATAATAATAACATTAACGACATTAACAACAATAATAGTGATTATAATTATTTTTATCATTATCATTTTAATAACTATTGATAATAATAATAATAAGAACAATAATAATAATAACAAAAGTTGTAAAAAAAATCAGAATCTCGATATTCTCCGTTTTCTATGCCACTCAACACTCCCCGTTCCACTCCGTTTTCTATGGCATCACCTGCGCGTGAACTTGATGGCGATCGGGGCGTCGGGCATCATGTTGAGTCTCAGCACCTGTCCTACGGGTTCTCCGGGGCCTTCAGGTGATCCTACACACTCCATCCTGAAGGCTTTGACCACCTGCGAAGGAGAAGTTAGAATAAAATACGACAGATTGGAATATATATTTTCTCTAAACCTGGGAAGGGAAACGTGGCTGAAATCGGATTTTTTTTACAGTTGCCGTTTTGTTTTTTTATTTATTTTGCGGTATAATAATGACTGTAATTGATGCACACATATTTCATTAAAATATTGTTATGCACATAATTAGACACAATGACAGTAATGAACTGACACACTAAAACGTACACACGTACATACGGACGCACACAAACACAAACAAAGCAACGTGCACACAAAAGATGCGTACGTGCTGTAGATACAATGAAATCCTGACGCAATACTGACAAGGTGAGGACGTAACGTTTCGAACACGAGAGATACGTTCTTATTCCGTTCACTTTGTGGAGATATTTCGTTTTACTTTACACGTTCCTGATTAGGTGCCTGTGTTTGTTCATAAATAAATGAATGCATACATACAAACATACGCAACACACACACACACACACACACACACACACACACACACACACACACACACACACACACACACACACACACACACACACACACACACACACACACACACACACACACACACACACACACACACACACACACACACACACACACAACACACACACACACACACACACACACACACATACACACACACGCACGCACACACACACATCCACACACACACAATCACAGACAAGCAAACAAACCCACACAAACAATCACAAACAAAACCCACACACCCACAAACACAGAAATAAAAATAAAAAACCTCCTCAGAACGCGCGGCTGCCCACTGACCTGGATGAGCGCGAGGTAGATCTCCTGCTCGGCCACCCTCCGCCCCGGGCACATCCGCGCCCCGTGGCCAAAGGGCACGATGGTGTACGGGTGGATCCTCGTCTCCTCTGTGGGCGTGGTCGATCCTATCCCGTGGGCGGTCGATCCTATTCCCGTGGCGTGGTCGACCCTATCCCCGTGGGCGTAGTCGAACCTCCTCCCGTGGGCGTGGTGGATCCTATCCCCGTGGCCGTGGTCGACCCTCCTACCTTGGGCGTGGGCGTAGTCGACCCTCCTCCCGTGGGCTGGGCTCTGGTCCGAGAGAGCCACCTGTCGGGGCGGAACTGGTGCGGCTGAGGAAACACCGCCGGGTCATGGCAGGCGATCACGGGCGGGGAACTCACGCAGGTCTGGGTTGGGAGGAG